CCACGCCAACGCAGCGGAAGTGCTATGCACTCGATTCCACTTTGCCTACCCTCCATCATTTCCTGTTTAGGTAAGCGCATACTCTCTCTAGCGCGTGTGTGCGCGTTGCGAAGCAGCTGAGTCACCTGACCCTTCATGGTGGTGGTGGTGGTGGTGGTGTCCGCGCCCGGTAGTGGAATAGGCTGACGCCGGTGTTGTTCGGGCCTGATGAGAGGGCGGGCTGCTAACACGAGGTCAGTGCTCAGCAGATTGGGTACCGGATTGTCTCCACATTATTTAAATCAGTTAATGGTGAAAGCGCATCCCAAAGGTATGGGGCATATCCATTTGTCGGCAATGCGGGCAAATCTATTCAATGGTCGCGCGGAGCTTGAGTGTGAGGCCGTCCTGAAGAACATCATATGCGTGCCTGCGTGCACCAGAGTTAGCGGTTTTTTTTGGCGAACGAGTGCAATGATGCCGGCTGGCCGGCCGCCTGTATCACAGTAGCTAGCGTGCATTAGATGAATGAGTGAGCGAATGCATGGGAACGAGAATGGGTGTGACCACGCCGACGATTTCACAGTAGGTCATGCTGATAGGGTGTACCACGTGTTTTGTCCGCAGAAGTGGATTGACGGAAGATCATTTCGGGCTAGAGTAGCCGGATGGTGGCGGAGCTGAACGGAGTGGTTGTTGTCTCCGCGTCACGCCATTTGTGAAAGTGCTCCTGGTCTCGCTGAGTTGACGCCATACACTAGGTGGCACAAAGCTCAAGGCGGATCGATTAGATCCATCCTTCGAAAGTTGGGCAAACTGAGTCATCAAGCCGGGACAGACTGAGGTACACCAAAGGTTGTGCAAAAGGAGAGATTTGTCACAGGAAATGCTTTCAGTTTAGTTGTTGAAATAGGAAAGTTTAAAGTGGCGTTACATTCGATCAGAACACGCTTTAAACTGAACTACGCTATTTTTCAGCCAAATGGTTAATAAAACAATACCTATGATTCTTCTGCTCTGGTTAACCGTTTCTCTTAAAACGGGCCATTGATTCGAGAAGCATGGTCTTACAACAATGCAGTTTGACTCGATCTAGTGTTAGCAGGTCCCCATAATAAAGGCGGGAAAGTGGATAACGACAAAGCGAATTAGGCGGACGGTGGACATCATCAGCACCCACTTGGCTCTGCTTGGCTGCTATGTACCACTGAGGGTGTTAGCACGGGACAGAAATGTGGCAAGGGGAGAGCGGTCCACCCCGGGGTGGTATGTGACAAGGCGCGGCATTTTAAGTACCGCTGGTTGCCGTACATTCCGAATGTAAGCCCGTCCATAGATAGATAGACAGTGTAACTTTGCACCACCAAATTTGTCTAAAATCGTAAGTCCCCGTATTAGCCAACCACAAAAAATCTGCAAGAGACACGAAATGGTTTCCCCACGATTGTGACCTCATCACTACCTGCACTCACTTGAGTGTGTTTAAGTGAAATCTGCTCTACTATTGGTCAGTTGTGATGATCGTAATGTGTTATCTTCGCGGTTAATGGGGCCTTCAGAACGGGGACGTCAGAACGGAGTTTTACCGCACCAGACAGTGTATCGACCAGATGTTAGGTCACATGCAACGGACAAAACAGCCGACGATGTAGGGTGTCAGAGAGTCCGCCTCGCATAGTCGGGGGCCTCATGCGTATGAACCACAGTAGAGCAGTGCATGAGAGTGAAGTTCACCGTCAGGGGTGTAGGACGACGTTGTGCTTTTAAGGCACCGGGTGGCCTGGCATAACTAATGTTTAAGGGCTTTTGATTCGCTACTGCCATCCTTCGCGAACGTCAAATGTGCAATATACCGACAACTTTTCGACAAAAAGTAGCGTGTCAAGTTAGAGGCACTTGAAATCCCCGTCTGGAATACTGTGCGTAGCTAACGGGTGGATCTAAGAAGAAATAAGGGCAGCGATGGGCAGTGAATTCCTGGGTGGATTTTGCATGCGACGTTTTCAAATTCCATCTAGCCTTTTTATAACTCGGCCCACCACTTCAGAAACGAACAATTGTCCAAAAATCATCCGTTTATATTCGGTAATGTACAGTATTCGATACCAAATATAAATGGTAAAATTTCCAGCTAATCGGAGGGTTGCATATTTTAATGTTACTCTGTATGACCAACAACACATTTGTGCTATGTGTCACACCTGTCCAAACAGTCTTTCCAGCGATCCACTTACTTCTCCTATTGTGGTCACTTGCACTACATCTACCTCAGTGTCTCAAAAAATTGTCCATTTCATCGAAAAGTAATATGCACTTTACCCTGAACCGATTGTGTGGCCTTCAAGCACCTATTCTACCCTCAGTCAGGGCGAAGATGTTACCACCGCCCCGGTCGACGAAAGTAGTTGATACGCCACTGGCACGGGGTAACTGGAAGAAGATCCCCACAAGAAAAGGTGTTGTAGGCTGCCTGATTCTTGTGACTTCATGTTTGTTAGGCGAAAGTACAATATTATACATACTTGCGCTACAATTCATCTTGCAACTACGGTACCTAGGTGCCCAAGCGTGACGTGATTGTGACTGTGGCGGTTGGACGAACTTGGTCGGACACCCACTGGTTCAATGTTATCAGACTCCAGTCAGTCTCTCCATCCATGTCCAGAACAGCTGTGCCCGGTGCATGACTGATGTAATCTAACTCAAATAGCGTCGGTTATCAGTAAAGCCCAGCTCTTGCGGAAGTACGGTTACTCCTTCTACTGGACTGAGCCAGTACTCACTCAGCCGATCAAACTACAGAGTAGATTTCTATCTAACCATCTCCGGTATCAAATCACCCGAATACGCACACACACACACACACATGCACACAAACGCACATATGCACGAAAGGAAGGTTTAGAAGACTTCATCCCATGTGTTTCACCCTATTTACTCTCCCTATAGAAACAAAGGTGATCACAGTGCAACGGAACAGTTGTGCTCCGTCGCAGTGGTGGAAAAACGGATATTGTGACAGAGATTAGGTGGGGTCTGCTAAAAGGGAAAGTAGCAATTAGAAACGCTGGCTGTTTATGGGGCTTTCAAACGAACGCACTGTCACCACAATGTGGTATTGCAGCTGGTCAGCAAGAACTGATGCAAAGTGACGCTGTTACGTTACATGACGGTGGAACAATCATTCCAATTAGTGTAAATCATCCGTTATGTATGTGATCACAACACAAGCCCCCGTTTCATTACCTTTGAAATCCAATTTGGTCACCGAAGAAGGAACGAGAACAGTTCCAACAGATTTCTTTCTGGTCTTTTTAATTCCAGGTTGACACATGTCACGGTTCATCACGCGCTATCTTTTCATGCCTGAAATACTAACCAAAAACTGGGACTATTCCTGAATTCTGTTGGCTCAGTGAAAAAACAAAACCAGCATCTTTATGTTCCTCTCTGGTATACAAGCCTTTTCAACCCGTGGTATTCCATTCATTCGAGAACCTCGACCGTAGTCGAATGGCATGCGTAGCGGCGTTTGCTAACAGTGTGGTCTATTCGGGGCTGCCAGAATCCATTCCAGCACGATTCATCGCACCAATGATGGCTACGGAGGGAACAGTTAACATGTATACAAACCTACCTTAATGTCTACCGTATCGGTCCGGCAAGCAAGTAGTTTGCGGGAAGGTGGTATCACAACCAGATCGATGAATGACGTGTGGATTTCCGCAGAAGCAAGCAGTCCATTCAGCTCCGTTCACGTACGCGAAGAGTCTACCTTAAGCACGACAGATAGTATCGTCCTCCTGGAACGAACAACGCAGCATGGAGCATGTCAGCTGTTCGGGTAGACGGCACTGTCTCTAGAAATGTGCAACAACTATTTCGCTGAAACATGGTCGCTGTAGCTCCCCACCGTTTTACGTAGTACAATGATACGCGCAGGACAGGTTGGGTTCATTTCCGCTACTGTCATGCTGAGTGCGTATAGGTTTGCACATTGTCGTTACTACATAACAAGTAAATATTGTTAACGATTAATTGCACTGATACAAGCACCGGGGAAGAAGGAAATATGGAAACTACTTCCATTGTTTTCATTTCCGTGCAACCGTTTGCCAATTTAAAGTATAGCTCCGCATCTTTGTACTTTACTTTTTCGCTTCATATTGTGACGAAATTTTGTTGCGGTTGGAAGCAATCGCAGTGAAAGTGGACAACCAGTCAATAAAACCTGGTTATGGACTTCTATGTCAGTTGACGACACTGTTCTCAACTGATAGCCCAGGGTTTCCTTGGACACAAATCCGTGCAGCTAATTCGTTGGACCCGACGTGAAGCTCATTTGACGCAGGCACAGCTCAGCTCTCTTCGCATGGTATTCGGACCTATGTACTGCGATCCTAGTCGCGTAAGGTCTCTCTTCAGCGCCACCTCCTGATCGTGCATTCACTGTAACGCACTGAACACATTGCAGTTATTTCGTGCTCGGTTACTCGCACAGTAACTCATGGAAGGTGGACATAAATACTTACATGCAACGCTTGCCCTGGGTGGAAAAGAGAGTGCGATTTCTGCAAAGAGATTTAGGCTACTTACCATGAATCATGGGATCCGATTGAAATTTTGTCTTCAAACTGTGAATGTATCTGGAGCAGAAGTCTTTGCAGAGTTCGTTGACTTTGTGCAATTCCATTAGGTGAATACGCAACACCTGAACAGCCTTGACTATCTGCAAATGACAACGGGATGGCGGTAATGCAATAACACCGATAGGAACAACGCACGTGCATAAGTTGTAAGCCAAAAGTAGGCCAGGTTAATCTATTGATCGATAGTGTCCTGAATGGTGAGTTTCCAGTACACTTTCTATCGACAAGTGCCGGTCGAAATTAATCCACGTAATCCTTTCAGCTGTTTTCTGGAAGTAACAATGCGTCTATGATAATCCGGCCCACCCATTTACGACAAGAGTAAAAGTGGAACGAGGAATCAATTTTTATGGGGAACTTAAGCGAACCATTTTAATCCACGAAAATGTATGATAAACTCACCAATTCGTCTACTTCACTGTCCTCTACAAACACTTGCAATTTTTTGCTGTCGTCAAATTGTGCAGGATCCCTTGTCCCAGATTCAGCAGAGTAGTCTGGGTCTACCATGTCAATTGATTTGTCGAAATCGCGCGACTTATCGGTGGAGTATATTCTGCAGTCAGTCGACTGAGGTCGGCTTGCCTTTTTCGAGTCGCCTTGTTTAAATCGCCCAGCAGTGGGATTTCGTACAACACGCGAGGAGCTGTAAGCAGTATCGTAGTGATTCGAATAGTATTCTTTAAGATCCTTTCCCTTGTTCGGCCTTGTGAGATCAGTGTTCTCCGGTTCCAGCCGGTGTTGGACGTAGGCCCGCAATTCGTCGTCGAAGGCGCCTGGTGATGGGGGCGAATCTGGCCTAACTGAAGCCAGTTCACACTGTTGCAACAGTTTCGCCAGCAGTGGATACAGTGGGTGGCTGTAGAAACAAGCAATGGCATGGGAAATTGCAGGGAACATCCGAGTAGACTTGATGAGATTTGTTAAATGTCCACGAATGTTATGCGGATAACGCCTGGAGTTATAACACGATATAACTTGTGGTACAGTTGCTTCGGCTCGGAATTCTGGCCTTAAGGTACCCAGGGTGATAGTAACCATTTGTCTCCTTTCGTAATTTATATATTAGGAGAGTGGGTGCAAAATGAACGGGAAAAGTAGATTTCCGTTTAGACGCAAATTGTATGACATCACAACTTTAGTTTTAAGGGAGTGATATTCAGGGCATACTTCCTGATGGGTAAACATCTAGCATTTCCGCACTAGGCAACGTGTCCTTATACAATGGTATACCAGATGGGTTAACTTGAAAAAGCTTCCTTACTGCTCTTCTCAACACCCATACTTCATACGTGTTGCCCGCCTCTCCTAGTGGAAGCGGTGAGTTCAGTGACCTATCACACGGTCTTCTCACTCCGAAAAACTTCCGCGCCGTTAAAACTGAGCCCTGTTTGAGCTGTCCCCCCTCCGTTGCCTTGATTTCTGGTCTCAAACGTAAACGAAATCCATCATTTTCGGTTAGTAGTGAACTAACCAGAGATTATCTGTGAGTAGGGGAACCGAATACTAATCCGTTACCTTGGAACGCCTCTACTTAGATTTCCTATGCATCCATGCTTGATGAGGTATAAGCGACCCTTGATGTTTTGGGATTAATGAAAGCGAATGAAGCTGTAGCTGTATACCTATCCGTTTTCACTGAACCTTTTTAAACGGTCACACTGCGGTATAATAACGAAATACTGTGAACAGTCGTTGCTAACCTCAGAGCCTACTTAGATGGTTACTTAGGTGAAAGTATCTGTTGGTCATAGTAAAGTGTATGGAAGGTTTACGCAACAACTTACTTGGTGATACTCCTCTTGTCAGCATCCAGTTCTGGATCGTGCTGTTGAATTTGCAAGGTGGTCACCAGGGGGAAGCTGGACGATGGAAAACATACCAATTGCTGAGTCACTAGTAACTACAGGCGTGGCTGTTCGACAACTAAACACAATGGGCACAACTTTTCCAGATCAGAGGAAGGATACAGTGTGAATCTTGTACAGGCCTATAGTAGCAGTGGTTTCAAAGTACGTGTGATGACCGGATTAGTCATTTAGAGCTTGTAATGATAAGAACGTGAGTGCGTCCCACACAGTTGGAACGCGTGAATCTATCTTGGTTTGTGTGTTACAGTCGATGACTACCGTAGTAAGCATCTAAGTTTCCCACGCGCTTTTGCAGCGCATCAATGTGCCTTAGAATTCTTATGTTTACTTGGGTTTCACGACTCCGTTTCTCGTAAGGTAAAGTAGACATTTTCAACTGCCTGTAACCTGAATAATGGAAGGTGTACAAGTCGCTAAGATCCATTTACATCTTGGTTGACTACATTCCAGGTGTCGTGATTGATCAGCCCAATAAAGCGAACAACCTTGAAATATTTTTTTCCGTGACTCCCAGCCGCACAGAGACAGTAATCCGGGGTTTCTTGAACTTTTTGGCCAGTGGACTCCTTTTTAGTGGAACCTAACACGGCGGACCCGTTGACATATTGTTAACCACAGGACTAGGCTATAATATGATAAGAATGAGGCGGAGTGTGCTGGAAGCGTTCATTACTGCACAATGAATTAACACGCGTGTTAATTAACTTTAGCAAAAAAAGAAAGCTGTTGAATTTAGGTTGAAAAAATCAACCTACTTTGAGGCTTAATGCATGGGGTAAAATTATTTCTGGCACGCAGCGTCGACTTGTTTGATGTATGGCATTATTGAAGAAAGCTGTAATTTCATATCTGGTTTAGCTTCAAGTATGTTGCGCTGCTTTGTTTTGTATAGATATAATGCGAAGTGCACTTTCACACAAATAAGTTATGGCAAATGGGAGAAGAACGGCAACAACTGTCTTAATTATGACAGGGTACTCGTCCTTTGTATTCCACTAGAAATCAGGCAGTGCCACTTTGTGAAACTCTTCCTGAATGGAAGCATTTGCTATTAAGTCGAGGAATTTCTCATACTGAGGAGATATGAAAGGAGTTTTTCATGCAAGTAACTGGGTTCATGCCCCATGAAAATTCTCTCAGTTGTTCCCCATCTTAGCGGGAGAAATAGTGAGACGAGACTTTTGCCAGATGTTTCAAATCCTCCACCTGTTTCACAGCCAGATCCTATGGAAACTGTGGGCACATGTGCAGCGCTTCTAAAATAGCTTTTAATGCTAGAAAGTTGTCAATATCGCCACTGCGAGCAATAATCGCCTAACATTCCAACTTCTTTTGAACTTAAATTGTAGCATTTGCATTGAATTTGGTCGCAGATTTTCCTTGCAGTGCTGGGTTTACATCCTTTATTTTTGCAATATAAGACAAATAGGTGAGTCTTGCCAACCGCTTTCCATTTGTCATTCGGAACTGTAAAGCAACTTCACGAAATTAAATAGCCGCACTCATAAAAGATCGAAATATCTACGCATTCTTTCTGGGCTCCTCTGGGTGGGGTCGCGCCAATGGGTCTCTCCTGCTTGCCGATTTCGGAGAATAACAACTTTCGAAATGATCGCATACAGGAGCCATAGCTTATTCAAAGTTGAATTTGGGGAACCAGCTGTGGTTAGGTTGAGACACGCAGCCTCTATTGAGACTTCGTTTCACTTTGTGATGAACCATAGGACTTACCTTGCGCTTCCTCCCGGGGGACAACGTCTGGGCGATATGAGTTTGCGCGGACATAGAATGATGCATTCAGCTTCTATGCATCGCACCACAGTAAGCTTATCACAATACTACACTTTGCATTTGAAGCTCCTCTCATTCACATTTTAAGGCTCTGCCAAACCCAGATTCCTTCTCGGAAGGAGTGTGTTTTACTTGGGCCCTGCGGAATTTAAAAATTTTCACAGTAGCTTGGTCAACAACATATAAAATAAAATGCTCACGTCCAGGAAATCTTTTACCGTAATTAGGACATATCGAGAAATCCCGCGGATCCCCTGAAAGAAGCCCACGGATTACTAGAGGTTACGCGGACCACACGTTGAGAAACACGGTAGTACTCTAAAGTGGTCTGCTTTGTGTTGCGGAATAGTGCAGCATGAACGAGGGTAACATTATGTGACGAATCGGATATGGAACTCGTTGTACCTAGACTTGCTGACGACTAGGTGCGCAGGAGTTGGTGCCTCAACGTACCCACTTTACTGGAGTGCGTCTGAAACACCTAAACACAGCATCTGATCGGGTGGCAAGCATGTCCGCATTGTGGGTTTGAGTTACCTTCCCACCCACCTTTTCGTCCTTGTGCCCGAGTTATGCACTCAAATTTGTTAGCACAGGTGTCTGTCAGGTTAGTGGGTGCATTCCACAGGTCAGCTTACTTTTAGGACAGTCTTTGCGTTCGTGTGTTCACAAGACTGGCTCACTACGGTGGAACATAGACTGGCGACACTGATACATTGCACCACCACTGCTGAAACAAGTACAGCCGACAGAATAGCAATCCTTGTGGGGTACGATAGCGCAATAAGCCAACAGTTACCAAGCACTGGGATGCAGTTGGGGAGGTGTACCACATAGCGGTGGTTGACGTCGTGGTGTCATCTTTTTATTACTCACCTGATAAACCGTGATGCGTTCCACACCGGTTCTTAAGAGAGGAGCGTAGGAAAGAGCCGTCTGGCGGACCGATCCAAGAGCTGCATTGAACAAATGGCACCGAAAGTTCCAGGCTGGCTAAACTGATCGATGAACTAAGAAGAGCTAGTCGACTTACCGAAGTCTAAAGGAAGGGGGAAACGAAGGCTGATTCAAATAGCACTCGACTCTTCAATTCGTCCTACGAGCGTTGCAGTTCCTTGGGCCCACGACGCTAAAGTACGCCAGTGCTTGCATCCTGACGTAACAATACCCATCACCAACCATGCATACTATCTCCCAACCCGTTGCATGGCGCATCATGAGGGGCACAATAAGTATTGAAAACGTCAAAGTGACCAGCAAGACGCGGATTATCAACTGCTAACTAAACGCCGTCTGTGTTCAAAACTTCGCAGGTGAGGACGGGTGTGGAAAAAATTAAAGATAGTATTTACAGTTGACAGCAGCAGTGAGTCAAAGGTCACACCACTTCAGTCTACTAGTGATAAATAGTGACGTGATCTGCAACATAAGTAGCACAGGCCGTCGTGATGCTCTTAACTCCAAGGATACAGTGGTGACATTCTGACCTGCCAGGTGAAGACACGTGTTTACTCATTAGGTGGGTTTGATGTTGTTGTGTCACCGCTGACGCCTTCACCCCACGACTGCAAGAAGAAGTCCAAAGATAAGTCGGAAAGGGACTGGTATACATGGATGCTCATTTAGATAGTTTTGAAGGCAAAATGAAGGGAAGCTACTAAATTACACTTGAGCCAACCAACAGAAGGAAAAACGTCAAAGGCAACGTGCGACTGAGCAACCGTGTAATCAAGAGCGAATCGCATATGTTATTAAAATAGCATCATGGGACTCCAAGCGTTCAGCGAACATTCATTTACAGTGACGGGCACTGGCCAATCAGAATAACGAAATGCAGCATTTAAACAAATGTCACGAAACAAACGAGAATAAGAAGTGCAGCCCAAAAGTAAAAACTAGTACAATAATTGTGTAATAAGTAAATATTCCTTTAACATAACCAAGTAGAAAAAGTGATGCGGAGAAAAATCAACGGAGTGTGTTCTTGCAAATGGCACTGCTGAAGATGACACGGAGATGAGCATCCATTAACAATGACGTGTATGTACCAATCGGGCTAACACAGCGGAGCGTTTAAACAACACTCGAAAAGTAGAAACTAGGAAGAATAAAGAATGGCTATTAAGTTCGTTCATCAAAAATCAATGTCAAATAGCTATTCTCTTAACAGGTGTGCCTGTGCAAGAGGCTATGTGACACCGTGATGTATGTGAACGATTTGCAGATGCCTGGCTCAAATAGCTTTCCCTCAGGTGTAGTCATGCTGCTCACACACACATTGAATCGCAGTGTTAACCAACTCATAAGACGAGAGACCGATCCTTGTTGCTGTCCACAGTTTCCTGACAGGTCGACCAATGAACCACGATGTCAATTTCACTCCAAGACCAAATTCCCTTGGACTGTTTATCCTCTTTGTGACCCGATGCGCTTTCATTGAGCATACCTCGTTCAGTCCCGGGGACGCTAAGTTCACACAGACTCAGATGTCAAAGTATGCCACTCCGGTGCAAAAATACATTTGTTCATACTGCCCTGCCTCAACATGCACCCAGCAAGTTGACCCGATGGAGAGTACAGTTGAATATTTGCACACAGTTAATCACATGTTGGTTATTTGCGCACTCGCAACGCGACGACTATAGGGAACGTTTCTCACCAATAAGGCTCAAGCAGGCGATAGAGTGGGAGATGGCCTTTTACTGTGAACAACTGCAGTGCTAGTTGTGGGGAAATCGCGTTGTTTAATTTTTTTACTTCAAGAAGGGTATTCCATAAAGAAACCTGGCAGAGAACCGTTGATTCAGAACGTTTTGCCGATTATCGTTGGTGAAATCATCCCCCGGTGGGTTCGTTCGCCCCACGCGCTTTGAAACCGGAATGGGCAGGGAACCCTCAGGAGCACTGTGTGTGTGTACATACCAGTGCTTGCTCGTCTGCGTGAAGAGCAAAGTGCGGTCGTCTTCCTAAGTAGCAACTACACATATACAATGGCAGAAGGCCATCTTACTGGTAGAGTGGAGACGATCCAGAGACTTACCCAGGCACATCCACATGCGCACACACCAACCTACCGGGGTGCTTAGCTGCCAAACAATACTGTCGTTCTTCATTAAAATACTGGCCTCTGCCGCAACCCTCAAAACGCAGTTGGACCGACCGATCTGTGGATCTGATAACTAATCGATGGAAGTTTGATTGACATCATCGGAAGAACAAAAATTGAATTGGACACACTGGATCATACCCGCATTGAACCGCGAGATTTCCAGTTTACCATCAACAGTTTGGGAAGGTGAAATTCACGGGCATTGTGTACGGGCAGCGTCTCACGCTGCGGTGAGAAGGTGGGGAAGGGGATCACTTGTGGGTTGTTAGTGGACCAACACTAAGAACAGTAATTAATGAAAAGTTTCCAACCCCTGTAGCTCTCAGTTGAATGGAACGTCTACCGTACACTTGTTGTGACTACACTGAAGCGGCAGCGTAAAGTTCACCGAACTCGCGTTCGGTGATCTGTTCACTGGGTGGTTGGCTCACAAACACTAGTATCTATCAAGAAGAAAGAAGCAACGTAGTCTAAACTTCATTCATCGGAGCAGGCAAGGACTTACGCCTTTGCTCACTCGCACCGAACGCATTACAACTTACACTTACGTCCATTTCAACCATCACGCACTAACTACAGCGAGGCACACTTGTAATACGTCACGGTAAATGCGTGTATGATTTTGAAGGATATTCGCAAAGCTCGGTGCATAGTAATCACTGGAAGGTTCTAACATGATAATTAGACCGCTGCTCTACTGCGGGCTTGGATACAACCGTACAATACCTCGATGCCTTGTATACGCGATCTAGTAAGCGGAGAATTGGATGAGTCCTGGTTTTCTTGCTATGTATGGCCATTAGTTTGCGACCGTTGCATCTGAATATTGTAGACTGGCTTCGGTCATACCCGTTTTGGAACACTTGTAGATGATGAGCGACGTCGCGAAACTCGTCGGGCTGAAGATTGATTAGCCCCAAAAAGAACTCATGACTAGTGTGTGGAATTACCACTCTCCAAATAGACATGTTATGTTGGTCAAGGAAACACCATTGCGCATTACAGTGTTGTGGGGAATCTCCCAAATAGCCGACGTAACATCCGTACAAAAATGACACATTAGGCAAATTAACTTCCGGGAAGTGAGTGCCAGTTTGCACAGCTGTAATGAGGTGTACACACAATACTGAGTCCTAGGTTTATCGTAGCGAAGTCGGTAGCCGTCGTTACAAAAAATGAGTTGCCTTATCAAGCGGCACAGGTTTTGGACTCTGTGCACAGCCCGGGGGCTGTTGAAATACTTACCGTCTGCTCTTATGAAGTGGGAAGGAATCTTTCTAGGAGTCGTCCAGATGAAACTTTGCACATGCATGTACTATCCTTGCTGCTGCTCGTTAGTTGCCTATACGGAAACCGTTGCGTGTGTTCTGAGCCGTTCCACTTACCATTGCTAGCTCTCTCAGGACCCACAACATGAGCTCTGAATTGAAGCAAAACTGCCTGGTTTGAGACATTCCGAAAATGTGTGACAACGATAAGACCTATTTGCAGTGAGAACACCGGTCGAGGTTACTCTGATGCTGCGGCAGATTCCAGACATGTGACTGATTTTCCATAACTTATTGTGAGCGGGACAGTAGCAAGTCGTCCATCAAAGACTGTCATGCCAAAATCAATCTGGAAATTGCTTCGGAATCGTATGTGAACGAAACAGTTGATGTGTACTCACGACACAGCGCAGTTGTAATTGGGACTGCTTGCAAACACTACGCAGCGCCGCTCATATGGCCCTAGTATTAACCATGTAAGTCAAATAGCTTCCGTTCACCTGCGTAATAAATCACCTTGGTGGCGGAACTTCCAGTCAAGTGTGGAAAAGTTCAAGCCGAAAATAGCATCACATACGCATCCGTAATTAATCGGGTGGACCGGTTTGGGGTGCCAAAGATCCATTGTCAAATATGAAGAATTTCTGACCTACACCGATAGTGGCTTGCACAGTCCATATAGCGCACTATCGCACGGAAAGGGATGTGAATCGGGGAGGCACGGAGGCCAGAAGGAGTTTGTTTTTCAGCGTAATCTACTGTGACGCTGAGATGTCTAACGGTACGTGGTAAGTCGGTTCCGGATGGGATTTGGATAAGTTGGTGTCACTGACTACGCACAGTATTTCGCTCGGTTGGACCTTCAGCTGAACTGAGTTCCTCACTTGACACGATATCTCGTTACCATTTCCCTCGTCACTAGCTCCTAGGTGGGGAACAACCCACGGGCTACTCCTAGTTTCAACTTTGGCTACTTTTACTTGATGCAACGATGTCACGTGCCGGCTTTTCACACCGTTTTCGGTCCCAAGAAGCAAAAAGGTACTGTCCAATTCCAAAACTTCAAACTCGCATTTAAACCAGTCATGACAACATTTCTCCTATTAGACATTGTTTCTAACAGTCGATCTACTTGAAGCCGAATAGTACATGTCCGACATATTCACAGCTCCTAAGTTGAGAAATGTATTATTATTGAGGTAATCTTGATCTGGCGGATACGTCACCTGTTCTCTCGGATTCCCATTCTTCCGCACTATAATCAATTTTCCTGCCAGTAAGAGCAGTCGAAATAATTGATTTTCACACTTGCAGCATGCGACAAGTTGACCAATTTTGCGGAGAGAGTGATACCGTTCTCTTCCGCAAGATATTTCGTATACCGCGATATCGAGGGACATTTGCAGGGGCTGTGCGTGCACAGTAAGTCTATTACAAGGAGTACCGCAAACTGCGTACCCAGTACTTAACGGCGGGCGTCGTAGCATGTCTAGTCTTACCGCAGGTTCTTCTTTGGGATAGGGAAAATGTCGTTAGTTTGGTCGAGTCTGTCGGCTGACAACATTAGGTGTGGTGACAGTGGGGAATTGCGATTTTGTCCCATAAAGCACTGAGCAGTCAGACCGAATATCTTCAAAAATACGGGACATACTGGCCATAAATACAACCATAATTTTGGGGTCTGATCTTCAGGTACAGCCAAGTGGACGCTTTGTCATCATGTGCAACCGCCTTCTTTGTGCGAGAATGTTTGGTGGATATCGTTTGTGTGCGCATAACTTCTTGGACTAGGGGCATCGAAGAGGACGTATGAAGAGTAGTTTCACCCATAGAGCCTTGCATACCCCAGAGCATGCAGCCATTTGGCTCGGTAGGTAGACCTATGGCTTCGTCTGCCCAACCCCTCATTCCACCTAAACGCCAGTACACTAGTGAGTGCATCTGGAACATTCCCTCATCCATCACTCCACTTGCGTAACATGATACTTCACTCCATCGCCCCCACTACAACGCCCATCGAGGATTGTGACCGAGTGCTGGTGACTAATATTTGTAGTGGAAGTTTCTTTACTTACACCCACGATGTATGAAATTCAGCGTGGACCGCCGGCAACTTGCGTTACACTGTGAATCGGGGAGAGGCTCCCGAGCATCCAACTGCAGACCGCTGCGCAAGTGTCCACGTACCCGATGAAATCGCATCGCTAAACGTAGGATGATTACATGCGCATACATGGGAAATTCGAATCTCGCTCAACCGCTGCTGCCAAATTAGTGTCAAACTATTATACCGTTTCGGCGTCAACTAAATGTTCCTCGGTGAAACATCGAGTAACACGCTGTCTGTCGTTGTCAGCCGTAAACCAGTTACATTCCCTGTGTTTATGTGGACTGAGACCATGTGAAGATCGATTTCTTGTGTGTTCACCAAGGAAATCGGATAGCTCACGTCCACAACTGGAACAAGTTACTGAACAGTCGTCTACTAGAATGAGAGTCCGAAGGAGCACCGTTGACTGCAGTTTCACCACTAAGTACTGATCCAAAAAGTACTATCAGACCAAACTCAACTACTTTTTGCTCATTGAGACTACAAAGGGGATAACACAGCCTACGTACTGTGGATCCCGGACTAGAGCGACCGGGCAGCATTACCCATATTGGTTATAGTGGCTATACCGAAGTTAATGGCGCGCCTAACTCTGAAACCACTGCGTCATTTCATTTTCCTGCTCGGGCTTCCAGTAGGTTGTCAGATAACCACAGACGTCTTCACTTAAATCGTTTCAGGGGGAAAGATGGTATTCCCAACTATTCTCAGGTAAGTACATATAGCTCTTCAATCATTATCCACGAAAAAGTAAGTTTGTATCTTTTGAGGTTTAAAAGTGGTAATCAGCGCACTTGAGGACCCGGAAGTCAAGCATAACGTAATCCAGGAAAACAATCATTCACATTGGCAGTGAACTACCGTCGTCTGTTAACGATTTCAGAAGATATGCGCACCAGCCTCATTGTTCGCCTGAAGGTCTAAGCGGTCCGTTTAGCATGGTATGACTATCTCCTTCATACTAATCTTTTGAATTTGGAGCATAGCGATGGGTTTAGCGTTATTGAAATTCGTTCAGCTTAACTGGGGATTTGTCAAAAAATTCCCAGAAGAACGTCATACTCCACAACTTAGAAAATGACCGAATTAACAAATAGCAGGAAGATCAGTATCTCGGATTAGCTGTCATGTTGGCTGTCATCAATCTTGGTAGATAGGCTACAAACGTTTCAAAACAGATCGAAAGGTTACATCCGCAGCGAAAAATACAAAATGGTTTGTTGGCAACCACTTGGTCTCAGACAATTGTACCTTGGATTTTGCCTGGGGCTTAGTATTTGCCAACGCAAGAGAGTATTTGTTATCGAAATCACTCCCTCGATTTGTGACAATACATCTGCCATCCAGCTACGGCTTTTGGTGAGCAAATTAACCTTCAAGTTACTCGGGTATCTCTACGAAGAAGCTGAGGTTCAAACCAGAACGAAACCACGGTCGTGGTGTGTCTGTTTTGGGAGGAGCAACACCGAAATACTTCCAAATAGCAAGCTATATTTGTAGTAACATCGCTATCACTTAAATTCATGAATAGATTGGAAATGAATCCCTTTCCTTTCCCTCGTCACGTTACGTCTTCCGCCCACTGAGGCTATGTTGTAGTACACCTGCTATGTTAGTGTAAATTGCTGAAAATGCTCTCACATGGGTAAATAAAGTTTATCTTGACTTGACTTAATCAACTGAACCACCACAAGCAACCTTTGTGTTCAAAGTAACTTTTGCTGGGATTCAGTTGCGACTCTTTCACTTCTAATGGTGACGGCCATTGAACGTCGCATCCGTGATACCTTAATCAACAGGTAAAACCATCATAACCATAACTGGAAGAAATGTCGCTGTGTTCCCGAAAGTTCACCAGCGGCCCTGCTGCTCACAGTGAGCACATGCGCCGCTAAGCACTTGCTCCGTAACTTTCGACGAATTTAGGAATGCTTTGCGACTATTATGCGTTTACACAACGAAACTGACACAGAAATGCTTGACTTTGGTGCTTCCATCTGTCTCCTTAAATCCATAACCTACTTCGCACTGTGTATCTACTTCTTGCCTACTCTCGGGCGTACTTCATAGCTCAGTTTGCGTTGCCTCAGGATACAACATGTTCTTGCAAGGAATAAAGCATACTACATTTCCCTCCGATTAGTTAAAGGGATGTGGCTTAGCTTCACAAGCAAGGGTGCTTATGAATTACCTCAATGCTAATCGGAGCGATTGCATCGAGGATTGCGTGACAACAACAAGAAACAAATGTTAACTACAAACGGTGTTAACTACAAAAATATGTTAACTACTTTTATGACATTTATGAGAAAAGGATGAGAACACCACTCATAACAGAGCTCATTCTGTTGCCTCAGTCCAAAGTCACTAACGAATGCGACATCTCTGCGACGAAAAAGTTGTAAAATATGCATCGTTCAAAGAGGCTATTAGGAGCACAGCTATTAGACATTCACTTTTTGTGTGAAGGAGCTTACTAGCTATTCCTTTTTCTTCTTATTTTCTACTTCTTGACTGTTGTTTAAACTCTCCGCTGTGTTAGCCCGATTAGTACACCCACGTCATTGTTAATGGATGCTCATCTTTGTGTCATCCTCAGCTGTGCCATTTGCAAGAACACACTCCGTTGATTTTTCTCCGCATCACTTTTT